TGAGGGTGCCAGAGCACTGGAACAGGCTGCCCGGAGAGGCTGTGGAGTCTCCTTCTCTGGAGATATTCAAAACCCACCTGGATGCATTCCTGTCCAGCCTGCTCGGGGTGAACCTGCTTTGGCAGGAGGGCTGTCCTAGATGACCTCTGAAGGTCCCTGCCAACCCCTACAACTCTGTGAAATAGGACCACCATTTTCGGACTGAGAACTGACTCATGTTTTGGAGGACAGAGTGAGAATGGCAATTAATTACAATGACAGTCATGTAGAGATGAAAGATACTGAAGGTTACTAAGCAGACAGTCTCAGAAGTCACGAATGTAATGAGAGAAGAAGCTTCTCAGCACTTGTTGGTGCTGAACCATAAGCCAGTAGAAAGGCTGATAGTTCAAGCAGGGAACATTAGGGGAGAGTAACACTGCAGCACTCCTGCGTATCATTGCCTCAGCCCATGTGTCTGCTGAAGGGGAGTCATGACAGTAAGGAAAGACATCTTTGAACCTTGATTGGATCAACGGAGTGCTGGAACCTGCTTCAGTCCCGTGCACAAAGTACCTAGTGATACATCTAATGATGCGACAGGGAGATAAAGAAGGCAACTATGTGTTCAAGCCCACTCTAGAAGTTCAGTAAGTTCACCTTGTTAAGGAACAAGATGTCCTAAGAAGAGGCTTAGCTCAAAACTGAAATTTAAGCAGAGATGAAAAGAACTGAGCACTCAGGAGACTACTGACCATTTCTAGAAGAGCTATGTCCCTCCAGACAAGACCATAAGTTTTGTATGGGATACCTCTAGCACCTGAATTCAGCTTTACACAAAGTTGTGACTGAGTTACTGCTGCAAAAAAGGTACAAACTACATGGAGTATGTAACTCAAGAGTCTGAATCACATGCTTTGCCTAATTGTGTGCCCATTAGAGAGAGAGACGGGAGACTGCAAGGTGTACTGAGCCATGACTAAATGCTGAGGATGGCACAGAAAAAGCAAGAAAATCAGGGAAACTGGGAATGTGATAACAACTGTGAGGATTGACATGAAATAGGCAAGGTCGATGAATATATGGTGTTAGAGAAAGGAAAGAGAGGAAAATGTACTAGAAGATCGAAATAAGCAGCTTGAAGGGGAGAAGAGACTTGGAAATGGGGATGATAAAAGAATGAGACAGAAAACTATGGAGCAGAGCTGGAACTGAATTGGAGGTGGATATCAGTGTGGCAGATGACTACAAATCAGAAACACAGCAGGATGAGAGCAGACAATGGGAATGTCCATTTTTGTATGTGGCAAAGGTAACTACTTTAACTTGACTTGATTCTGATGCATTGAATTGAGCTTGAGAGACCTTCCAAGAGACGTAAATGAATTTAATCTAATAATCCATAAAATAGGAATATTTCTTATGTCCTCATTTTGGGAAGTGGGTTACAGATGTATGAGTTTGGAGGCATACTGATGACTAAAGAAAGGTCCCCCCTTTTTTTTTCCTAAGGCATCATTTTTGAATCCCAGGTCAATGTCTGTGGAATCCCAGATATTGTGAAACAAAATGCTAAATAAACACATCCCGCATTTAGCAGCAACTTCAGTAGCCATGCTTGCATCTAGATACATAGACCTCCTCTTCAAGTACTAAATTAGCATAACTACTGTATAAAATGGACACAACAATTGAATCAGGTATGACACTCTAATTCATGTTATCCACAGCTTCTGTAAGATCTAGGGAGTAACAGATGACTGATGTCATGCTCTGTAGACGTTAAAGATGTGGACACGCACTCACTTCAAAAACACCTCTCCTTGCTACTTCTCTCTTTGTTGCTCTTGAGTGTTATGTGGTGGTTTCAGCTTTGCCTGGAATGGACCAAGAACAACTGTCTATCCAGGATCAATTATGACACGCTGCAAGGCAGCCATGCGGAGTAGCTGACAGGCATGTAACATCCTAGACTTTCACACCAGTTTCAGAAGTAAAAATAATGTGGCACCTGGAGTGTTTTCTGAAGAAAATACAGCATACTTGTACTAATGTATCGGTGTCCTCTCGGAAAAGACAACTAACCCTGCGGAAAAGTACTGGCATATGTGGACGCTGGGTAGGTAATCAGCAGCTGTGTAGGGTAGGTTTTTTTAAGGTCATGCTAACATTCCTTGGGCTAGAGTCAGTTCAGGCGTCTGCTTTGTTTTCGTGTTGAGCTCTACAGTCCTGCAACAGAGCAGAACACTAACCAACGCATTTTAAAATTTCCTATATGCATAGCATGCTCAGCTATTTTTATTAGCCCACCCACAAGGAATGAAGTGGTATCTCTTCTTTCTGTTCAGAATCAGCAACACAAAAAATTGTGTAACACAACACAACACAAAAGTGTATCTAGCTTTTGCACTAATGCCATCCTCTCACACTGCCACAGTTCTCTCAGCATCAGCATATTTGGTCCAAGGATGAACAGGATTATTTCAGAGGTGCTTATCCTCTGTTATCTTTAAATTGTTCCTGAACTATCTGGGACAGCTGGAAAATCAATGACCAATTTTAAGTTTTCTTATTTGTTACTCTACTTTTATTACACAGACTGTGTTCCTTGATCTGATTTCTCTTTGGTGGGTTCTTCTGTCCTATGCTCTGCTACAATGCTACCCCGAATGCATAGAAATCTCACAAACCTTTCCTTGGCTATCAGCAAACTTAGAGTAATTGCTATTCTTATTTCCTGCTGATGCCGGAGGTAGAAAACCCGCCAGAACTTCTTTCTAGTTTAGCTGTGCCAATTAACACCTATTTCCCACCTAACTGCTGCCAAGGGTGGCTTGTGGAGACCCACCTTCATGCTAGCTGGCTCTGCTTCGGAAAGCAGTGCTTCAGGTGAAGACCCCCTGAAAGAGGATGTAGTATGTATTTGAGGACGTGACTAAAGATTCAGGTAGCTGTTGCCAATCTGCTACGCGATAGCCCTGGCAGTGGTATCACTGCTGGCATTTCAGAGAACTTGGGTATGTCTACATGAGCTGTAGGCATGGCAGTAGCTGCAGTGCAGACATTGCCATCAGGCACAACCTGTCGCTGGCACAAATTAAGGTTTCCTTTCACGTCACTATAGATTTGTTGTGGTCATCACGATTTTTATTTCTCTCCCTCTCCTTCCACGATCACACAAAAGACAGTCTGAATAGTTTTCACTTTCTAGCAATGAACCTGATGCCACTCAGTGGGAATAAAACAGTACTGCAAGGAGTACAAAAGGTCTAGCATTCCTAAGCTTGTGGTTAGAGGATTGCTACATACTGTAAAACTCTTACCAACTCCTCTGCTGCTGCAGCTGCATAGACACATCTCTCTGTTCAGATACTGAAATGATTTCTGCCAGAGAATGCAATTTACTAATTTTTTATGTCTTACCATCTATCAAGTGTGGCAAAGCAATATTCTGCTCTAAGAGAACAAACATGTGGTTTCCATGTTGCACATAAGCACAAGAGAAAATAAGAATTAGAAATGTTAGCAACAGGACAAGTAAGAGATGCTTTGCCTAAATCATGTAGATGAAATGCAAGGTGGAAATGTCCAGAAAATAGAAACAAAGTACAAGCATAGGGCAGAAGCATCAGAGAGAAAATGACTCACTGGACAAGCAGAAAGGAAGAGGCATTGAGAAAAAGGAATACTTATTCTGTGAATATGGTACTGAGAAGAGTAAAAACAATTAGAAGAATGCCTTACTATTCATGGCAAGGGAAGGTTATTCTGGGAAAGGTTCAGGTATTTGATATTCTTCCCTATATCAACCTTTTTCAAAAAATGATTCTACAGTTATACCAGCTATTTCCTGAACTTAGTATGTAAAAGCCAAGTTTAAGAGCATCTGAGAAAGTTGTATGTTTTCAGATTGCTTAGCTTAATTAACCACAGTGTGCAAATCTTAGAGCCATTAACAGTTCTCTTCACCAGCTTGTGGAAATTGAATGGAAAAGGCAAAAATGGTGCCTTTTTTTACTAGGAAAAACAGGTGGAGAACCAAAATTCAGTAAACTTAACTTCCATCCTCAGCAGAAAAAAAAACAGCCCACTAAGTTAATATGCTGAAAAAATGAGAAGATCAACAACCCATAACAGGGATCCATAAAGAACACTGTCACATCAATGTAATTTCCTTCTATTACAAGTTAGCCAGTCTGGTGGGCAAAGACGCGGTTAGTATCTTGGAGTTAATATGTCTTGGACAATGTTTCACTTGGGAGGCTCATGATCAAACTAGCTTTGTTGAAAATCCTGTAGGATAGATGCAAAACTGGTTAGAGATCTACTTTTAGAAGACAAAATAGCTAACAGTAGCCTTTGCTTTAAAAAAAATTAGATGTAAAGGTCTATTAAATAGGTTTATGCTGAGGTGTGACTGGGATGTGGTATCCACGAACGGCCCCTGTTAATTATTTGGCAGGTGATAGACAGATGGTATCAACCTGACCACATGTTGGAGGGCAGGACTGTAAGCCTAAAGACTCTTGATGAACTGAAAAAATGTTCTGTAGAAGGAAAAAAAGGAAAAAAAAAAAAACAAAACCAGGAAGAAGGTCTCACAGGTATTCCTGGTGAGCACGCTGACCTGTGGGTATGAACAGTAAGACACAATAAACACAACCGTAAAACGGCTCAAGCTGACCACGAACCAGGAATACCGGGTCACGGTTGGTTGTTTTTTTTCTAGAAATGCAAACCAAAGACCCCTCAGAGACAGTTAAGTGTCCCCACGGGCAAACCGCGGCCTCAGGGGGGGTGGGAACGGGCCGGGCCGGCCGGTGCTCGGCGCAGCGAGACGCCCTGGAAGGGAACACCCCCCCGGTACCGGGCCAGGCCCGCGGGGCGGGCACCGGCCCTCCCTCCCGCCGGGCACAGCCCGCTCCCGCGCGCCGTATTACCGGGCAGGAACCGCCCCCCAGCACTACGGCGGCGGGAACACCCCTCAGGGCCTGGGGAGGGCCTGGCGGGGTTCCGCCGGGCCAAGGCGGGCAGACAGCGCGCAGGGCGAAGCGCACCGCGGCTGCAGGAGCCCGGCACTCCCTGAGAGGACCCGCCGCGCCGCCGCCTCCACCCCTCTGCCGCCTGAAGGGAGGCGGCCGCCCCGCCCCGCCGCTGACGGCGGCCGGCAGGGGCCAAGCTGCCGCGCGGGGCGGCCGTTTCCCGGTGCTCGTCCCGCCGCCGCCCGGCCATGGAGCTGTGGCAGGTGCCGGTGCTCTTCTCGCGCCTGCCCATGTTCCCCTTCTTCGACCTGGCGCACTATGTGGCCTCCGTCATGGCGCTGAAGGAGCAGCGGGGTGAGCGGGGGCGGTTGGCGGGGTGGGACGGAGCCCCTTCTCTGTCCCCCCCACCCCAGCCCCGCGCCGTGCGCCCCAGTCCGTCTCCCCCCGTTCCCTCGCCGGGCCAAGCCGGAGGCGGGGGCCGGGCAGCCCCTGCCGCCCCAGCTCCGGACGGGCACGGGTGTCCGCCGTGCAAGATGGCGGGGGGTGCCTGAGGGGAGCCGGGGCGCCGGGAGCGGGGCTGGGGCGGGGGGTGCCGGGCGGGACCCGGGGTGGCCGGCCGCTGCCTGGGCTTTGCCGCTGGGTCTCAGCGGGAGCTGCAGGTGTCTCGCACGGGACAGCACCCGTGTGTGTGTGTGTGTCTTTTCCCTCCAGGTGCGCCCACCTTGCAAAGTGTTGGAGAGTTGTTGGGGTTTTCCCTCCCCCGCTACTTTTGGATTGTGTTTGTTTTTGATGACGGCGAGCGGCCCGACCTCCCTTCCTGCGTCTTCTCCCACAGAATCTCAGGCGGCTCCTGCGCCGTTGGGCCCGGCAGGAGGTTTGGCAGGGCCGCCCCAGGCCCGGGATGCAAAAGTTGGAGGTTTTTGCCCTGAAGTGTGGCCCGGGTGCTGCCGGGGGGGCTCCGCTGGCGGTGCCGTGCCTCTCCCCCTCGGGCCCTGCCGCCCCCTCGCCTCGCATCAAAATCCACACGTTCTTTCCCAGCACTTCTGCAAGTGTGCAAATGAGATCATCTGCCGTCTTCAGCAGGCTGCCTGGCAGTAGATAACTGGCTGATAGGCTGCAGAAACCGCACGGGAAGCGCCCAGCTGAACTTTTATTGCTTTCTCAGAACTAGAGGCACTGGTGAAATGGGCTAGGAGTTCTGTTGAAAACTGTTTCGCAGTTCAAAATTTAAAAAGCCCCAACAACAAAAGGGCTGAGCCCCTTGACCTTAGGCTTATGGTTGGACTAGATGACTTTTAAAGGTCCCTCACAATCCAAACCGTTCCATAATTCTGTGCAGAGGAAGGGTGCAGATCGCAGTCCGAGGACTTGCTCTGGTATTACATCTGAGAGGGGAGAGGAGGGCTGCTCAACTGATGACTTTATATCCTTCACACGCCCTGGTTGTGCAGGAAGCTGTTGAGGCAGTTCTGTCTGGTAATAAACATAGCTTGGGAATCTAATGGGCAGGTTGTGTGCTAGTTGGTGACTTTTCACTTTGTAGCCATAGATAGTTAAATTAGGGAAATTTTTCACCCCCAGTAGCAGGATTCTGGATTTTGTATGCCTGTGTGTGATGGCACTTCAATCTTTACGTACTCTGGCTAGAAAATCTTTTGCACTGTGATCATTAACCCCAAGCCTAGTTTTCAGTTGTCACAAATGTAGAGACTAGCCTTGTTTTAATATTTAGAGTAACTACTTGTGGAGTAACTTTGGACAGAAATGGTGCGTCCCACCTGATAACCATGTAGAAAACTAAGCTGGCTTTCAGGATTATAGTGCAGATTTAGGAGCTTTGCTCGCTTCAGATTTTTAAAGCTCCACATTGTTAGTTTAGTGAGAGCTGTTTCTTGGTCGCTTCCTAAAAGTGTCAAAGTGAATTTTTAGTTCTGCTGAGTAAGTGCACTGAGCAAGCTGTGAAGAGTGATATAAAATGTGTACGTATGCTAACATCTTCACCAAATTTTGTTACTACTGCTAAAATTGTTTCTGGGTGCAGACTTGTGGCATTGTTCAATGTAACTGTTCTGTTCAGAAAGGAACTTTCTGTCTAAAGTCAGGCACTATCATGCACTACCTTTTAAACTTTCCTCTGGAATGCACACAGATTTAAACACTAGGATGAAAGGAATCTCTCTTCTTTGCTAGCATTAGCATAGCTTTAGTGAGAAAGCACTTCTGGAGAATGGCAGCGCTGTCAGATCTGCACTTCGTTGTTTGTTTGTTTTTTTTACTCTTGGCTTAATAGCTGGAAAGTTCCAAACTCTCTAATATCCTCGGATACTTGGAATTAATAACTGTAGTTCAGGCTGCAGGCACGCTGGTCCGTTGCTCACTTGCAAGCAGTTTGAACTGAGTAGTAAATCATAGCTGAAATAGCAGTTATTATTAACTACTCAGGATGGATATATTACCAGTGGTTAATATTCTGCAGGCATTACTATGTATTCTTTTTGGAAACGTAAACAGTAGCAATATCACAGGGAAGAAACTGGGTAACAGGAAGTACGTGGTCAAGTCAGAGACATGTTTTGTTTTATCCCACGTTACTATCTCATTAAAATGCCTGCACTTCTTAAAATGAGATTCAGTGTGAGTATTTGCATCATTGATGGGCGCACACCAACTGGGACTTTCCAGACCTTCTAATTAGTTTTTCTTGCTCTCTTGTGAGAACTACAGCAGTGACAACCAACATGTTGCTTTCCACATCTGTTACACTGAGAGTTCTTGGTTACTGTTTGGGGTTCCTTAAGAATTGTTCATTTGTAACTCCAATCAGTTGTAGAACTGGCAATTTTCTTTTCCTGTGGTGGAGGGACAGCAAAAGTTGTTGAGGACTGAGGATGTGTAATATTTCGAAGGAATGTACTGGTTTCATTCTTGCAAGTTCTCTATGACGTGATTCAGACGATTTGAAGAAAACTAAGTTTTTTGACCTGGTTTTACTAAATTAAATCTGACTCTTTAAATCCTTTAGCCTAATTCATTACATATATAGTTGAATAGAGGTGGTAGTAGAACTTCTACAAGGCCCTCTGGTTTGCTCTTCAGAGGTGTATATAGCATGTATTTCTGATTGCCCATTTGAAACATGTCGGAAAGGTTAAAGTAGATCTTACCATCCTGACAAAAATAGTTTGCTGGTGAGGATTTTTATTACTATTGTCTGGAAACAACATTTAAAACTGTGTTCAACAACAGTCTTTGTGTTTTAGAATCTTATATTTACTTTGTAGAATATATCGTTTGCAAGACTAGTGGCCTTTTGGCAGATCATACTTTGCATGGCTGTATGATGCCTCATTAGTTTACAGGATGCATCAGAGGACAAATATAAACGAGCACTTGTTTGAAAACATGTGACTCACTTAAAATTGCATTTGTTTTCTGAAAGGTTACATCCCATTCCTTATTTAGGTAGCAAGGCCAAGATGTGCTTTAAATTAGTATCGCCTCATTGTTTTCTGTGTTGGGTATATTCCTTGTTAGAAAGCAGGTATGAATTGTTAAATACTGGTATTTAAGTGAAGACAATTCTATTGTTGACTAAAAAAAATAATTCTGAATTCCAGCATTCCAGCAGAGTTACCACTCTCTTGTACTTTTACACCTAGTAGCTTAATGAAAAAATGTAAATGCTTTGTTGTGGATCTTGCTCATAGAGGGCTATCTGGTAGTAATAATAATAGTGATTCCTGTATGTGTTGTCAAAACTGGAATCCAGTTATTGTAAGTTGTGGGAGAAAGTAAGAGCAGAGAAGTGGTGATTGCTGAAAGACACGTGAGTGGGTTCAGAAAGAGAACAGATAGCTAAATAATTTATACAACTCCAACATTTCTTCACATTTTATGTTTAAAAGTGCTTTTTCATCTGGCTGTTAGTATAGGAAGTGAAAAGTCACTAAGATATTTTCACAAAGTATGTAGGAGAGAAGGGAAGTTGATCTAGAAGCAATGATGTCAAATGTACAACAGAAATAAATTTAAGCCTTTTCAAACCTGATACATGAGAATCTTCCATTTTTTCCCTTAAAACTGGTGGTTACTAGCTGTGTTTCATTGACTGCAGTCAATGTGCATGAAGAACAGCACCTGGAATGGTTTCCTTTTATTATGTTATTAATCTGACTGAACACCTGCTGAAGTGAAGAAGCAGCTGGGTTTCAGTTAGCTAGCTCTCAGTCATGCTGCATTTTGTGGGGAGGGAGGAGGTGGATCAATATTCTGATGGAGGCCACTGGTAAGATGTTAAGATAATTACATCTCTGCTAATACAAAGTGAGAAACTTCATGCTAGTGAAAGAGAGGTTGGTGCACACCCACCTGATGATGGATGTCCAAGCTGTAAGATTTTCTTTTTTAAAAAAACCTGGCCTGGAGGCCAACAGTTCTTGGACGTGGAACCTCCTGTTATGATCTGGTTACCGGTCTCGCTCCAAGATCAAATTACTGTGCAGATTGCATTCTGTATTACGTCTGTCCAGGAGTTAAAAGTTTGTGCATAATGCAACAGCTGATCTGTTAAGCAGTACTCCCCAGTTCCAGCACGTGTTCCCCGGTGATTTGTGACTTACACCGGCTCCCTCCGTTATCTGGGTTTTCTCGTTGTCCTGTAAAGTTTGGGATGTTTCCTCTCTAGATGGTCACTTTGTGCTATAATGCTACAGCAGCATTTAGTGGAGTTACTCAACAGAGGGACTACTGCCAAACATGGGAGTCGGGTATCGCCTTGGTGCAAGAAAAGCAATTCAGTCCTTTCATGCTAATGTAGGTGTATAGTAATACTTTTAATGAGGCTGTGCAATAAAACAAGAGAATAATAGTATGCGGGAAGGAAGCTACTGTAATTCTTTTGGACCAGTAAGTGTCTACCTAGCACAATTTTGTGTTGTTTTTTTTTTCTGAATGCAATGGCTGTCAGCATTTTTAGATGCTTTTTTAATGAGGAAACCTCAGCGTAGTAAGCACAAACCATTAATATTCTGCAAATGTCTTACCCTTTTCAAATATGTTGGTGAAAATAGGTCCACATTCAGTTATATGGGATCTGGATGTAGTGGCCCAGATTGTATTATTACTTTTGCTCTTAAGTAACATTAGCAAGTCCTAGATTTTTCACCTGTTAATTTTATGCACATAAACATTAATTGATAGCTACTTTGGAGAAGTGGTAATATGCAATAACAAAGTAGAGCATAACAGACTTGGAACACCAGCTACTGCAGGATCGAAAATACTGCATATTACATAATAGTTTTTAAAAAATTAACTACTTTATGTTCAGACATTCCGTAATATTTAGTAGTGCTCATTTTTATAAATTGACTGTTACCTGGGAATTTAGATAGTGCTGGGATATGTGATACCTGTACCAGCACTAAAACTGCAACAATCTTATTAATACTGTTGTATAAAATGAATTATATTGAGAGTGCTATATTCTCTTTGATACATTTGAGCTTCTCATCTTCAGTAAGAAGCTTCTTTTCCCATAGAAGGGCCTGAAGCACCAAAAGCTTCTCCTCTGAATTGTTAACATGCCAAATTTCATTTTGGGGCAGACACTAGGTTTCACCTTTACTTTTGTGAACTTCAACCTTTGGACTATGGAAAATTAAACAAGTTCAGGCAAACAGCTTTGCACAGTGTAAAGGGGAAGCTTAGGCAAACTGGACTTCTGAAGTGGAAAGAAATAGTCAAAACAACTACTTGAGGATATTTCTGGCTTTAATAAAGTGTTGTTTTTCCTGAAACTGGTTAAGGCTTCCCATTACCTCCAGCATAATCTTTTGATATTGAATAGTCTTTTGGCATAGTTCAATTGCAATTTCAAAGGGATAAATAATTTTAAAGATAACAAAATAAATCCAACTGTGAACCTTTTAATAAGAAGGGAAATTACATGTATTATTATGCCTTCAGGTAACCTTCTTCCTCTATTCAGGATTGCAGGTGAAACTATGTAATACTTGTTTTGGATGCTGTTGGTTAACAAACACAGCTAGCAGGGTGTTACGAGGAAAAAGAAGAAGAATGCCCTTGAATTCATGAATGCTCAAAAGCAGAAATGGAATTTGTAGAATAACCAAAAGTTACCAGTACCATTCCTGTCTACAGCGGCTAAACCACCTGTGTATTTTTAATACAAATTTGAAAGCAACTGTATATCCATGCCAGGTTATTAACAATGACACCTCTCAGCCATGCTCTGAAAGCTTTTTCTTTACACTAAACCAACCCACAAAAGATGTTCAGAGAACACAATGTCAGACTTTCACTTTTATTTAGATAGCATATGCTTCATTTATGGTACTCTGAAGTTTGTATTTCGGAAGACTTTTCCTGTGAAAGCCTATACATTTCTGTAGGACTTTTTCATTACCTAAAGGAACAACATGGGACTGCATGACTTGAAAATTACTGTCTTATAAAACATGATGTGATTCTCAAATGTGTATTTCTATTTATGCATCTTTCTCCTTTGTTTCAGGAGCTGTGGAAGTGTCAGTCCGAAGTCCAATTGCCTGCTGGTTTAGTGCTATGCTTTACTGCTTTGGTGGTTCAGTTTTGTCTTCGTTGATGCTTGCAGAACCTCCCATAGCGTTTTTGGCAAAGGGCACAAATATTCTACTGGCATCTTCAGTCTGGTAAGCAGCCACAACTGAGTTAGATGAGTAGTATTGGTTCTGAGGAAGCTGTACTTTTTCTGTAAACTGAGAGTATACCATCAAGCTTCCATGTAGATCAAAATTTTAATTTGAAAATGTTATGCATTTGGATGCTGTCTTTTCATCCAGAAAGTCACTGCAGCAAAATAGCTGTTATGATCCTTTTCTGTAGGAATGAAATGTTTGTAAGAGCAACTCTTGTTACATAATGAAATGCTCAGTCAGTAGACTAGTCTATTCCAGGTCAAGCAGATGAAATATTATTTTGGAATAAAGTGGACTTCAATTACTGCTTTTCCGGACATAGGGAAGTCATAGAAGTAGTCAAGCTTTTCAGTGGTAGCTCTTGAAGACCAGAACCTGACTGATGTAAGGGATTTTAACTTCTCTGTAATGGGGGATCTAGGACACAGATCTTCTTTCCTGTCTTCTAGTTTCTGCTGCCTGACATTTGTTTTTTCTCTAACTTGCCCTTTCCCAAATGGGTGCGTGTTGTAGTGGAACACAGTAGAGACCTGAATGGAAAGCCTGGTATGTGAACGAGGCAGCAATTTAGCCTGTTTTGGAATTCAAAAAAAGCTGGAATATGAAATATTATGAAAATAACTGGAGTTATATACGGCCTTCCAGTGGAGTTTATTTGCTACAGAAAGACACCGTCTTTCTTTGAAGACACTGTCAAACTTTAAAAAATTTGTGGGAAGCTTGTGTTTTTACATTTAAAAATCTCATTTCCTCTCTTAGAAAAATATTATCTGCTTGAAATCCTTTAGTATTGGTTCCTTGTAGCCCATTAAGTTTTATAATTGCAAATTAATTAAAATGAGAGTAAGTATCTATCCATGGGTATCTATATATTAGTCTTGTGGTCTTCAACTATCAATGGAAGATGCAGAAATATTTCATTTATGTCAATCAGTGAAATGAATGATGTGCGATAACTACTGCAGCACTAATAAAGCTTATAGAATCTGTTTATGCTTCATATTCGTCTGATGCAGGCAACACGACTGCTTGTTTTAGCAAATTGCACGAGTTAGTACATGTAAACTGAGCGTGATTTCTGTTGAACTTAACGTGGTCAAATGTGATTTGCAGTGCACAAACAAAATGAGGTTTTAATGAGGAACTGTGAATGTTATGAAACCTTTTAAGCTCCCAGTTTTACAGAGTTCTCTTTTCATGAGTATAATGATTTTAATTCTCGGTTGCAAATCACGTGAAACAAAATTCTCCTAAGCCGTGCGTGGAACTGGGGAACAAAAGGGGTTGTGCTGGGCTTGAGAGATGCTCCTCAATAGTCTGTAGGGCAGCGACATCTACTGTCCGCAAGGGCTGCTAGCACAAATCACAGCAACAACGCCGTGACCGGGTACCGATGCGAGGTCCAGTCCCCTTACCTGTTCCTTGGTGCCCTAAAACCACATTCTGCATTCGTATATTAATTCTGGCTAGTGTTGTCTGTCGAGTACATGGCTTAAATGGATATTTGCAGTTCCAATTAAAATACATGTTCTATATATCTCTGCATTCATATCAACTGACGCTTAGTTGCATATGAAGGCAGTGCAATTTACAGAAGCAGAAAATGGAAGAAATATGAGTACAGCTAAAACTAAACACTGGAGATGTATATATGTACTTAGCTATTAAAGTAAATTCCAATACATTAAGAAATAGGTTATTTCCCCTTGTATGGGAGAAATAGGTTATTGCATGCTCCATTCTGGAAGGTCTTGAAGAGAAGAAGCTTTAGAAGTTTGCAGTGGCAAGGTACTATATCCACTTAAGCAAAAGCAAATGTATAACTAGGACAGGGCTTCAGATAAACTTTGCCCTTCTGTGGAGAAAACATCCTGACATTCTGCTCTAAAGGATAAGCACATTTTTTTCTGGAGGGCAGGGGGGACAGGGATGCATGATGAAATAAAAAAAAAAAAATATCCCAATGAGTACTGTCCTGCTTTCTAATCTCTAACCATGAAGCATGGCTCTTCCTAGTTATGTTTCCTGGTAGTAGTTCCAGTGAAGTAAACTAGATATGAGAGGTCTCTGCCTTGCAGCCTGAGTAAACAGGAGAAGGCTACAGCCTGTAGAAATCCTTGGTAGACAGGATTGAGCTCAGAAGCCTAAACCAACAGGCAAGTATCTATTTTTTTTTTCAGAAAATGAAAAAGTACCCTTCTTATCTTTTAAAGGCTTTCTCGTCTCTTATTTAATTGTTACTCTCTTATTCCTGTGGTGAAGTAATCTAGATACTTGATTTTTTTTTTAAGACCTTTGATTTCTCTGCAAGAACTGATTTTTATTTTTTTTTATGATTGAAGAAATACAATATAACACCCTATAATCTAATCTTTTAAAATTTAATATCAGTTTAGGATTTCATTGTTAGCCATCTTTATTTTCCTTTAAAAGCAAGTTGATAAAAGATACTAAATTTTCAGTACTGTGCTTTCCACACTTCAAAAAAAGAAATGTGCTTATAATTGGCAAGCTGGAAAAGCTAGAATTGATGGTTACTAAGATGTGAAATGTGTTTGAAAATAGCTGTGCATTTCATCTGGCATGACACTAACTAGTGGAGGCATTCTTGCTCAAGTTACATAATTCCACATACCTATCAGTATGAAAGCATGGTGTCAGCATATGATTTACCACCCTGTTGTAATGCTATAAAAAACCCCTCAAAACCAAAAAAAACCCCAACCAATCAAAAAAAACAACCCACAAAAAAACAAACCACACAAAGTCAGTCAGACACTAATTTAATAATTTGAATTATAAAAACAATATGTAAGCTGTAGAACAGCTGGTAAAACGTAAAGCTGTTTCTCATGTACTTCAATGGATTCTTCTCTGGGACAGTAAGTCAGTAAGAACAATCTCAAATGAAGTTTGATGATTTTGGTGCAAGAGCTCAAGCACGCTCAAAATTGTTCTAATGTATCTACCATACAAGACAGTGAGTTATGTGCATTGCTAGTCATATTCCAAAAGTGCCTCTAAAGGTTATTAGAAAGTGAATTCCTTAGTAAGAACTTTTGAATGCTGCTAATGTCTTTTCTCGCAATTTTTAGGTATCTTGTGTTTTATTGCCCACAAGACATATTCTACCGGTGCTTTGCCTTTCTGCCTCTTCGGCTTCTGGTTGCAGGAATGAAAGAAGTGACTCGGACTTGGAAGATAATGGCTGGCATTGCACATGCAAACAGCCACTTCAAAGATGCCTGGCTTGTCATGGTAGCTGTGGGCTGGGCCAGAGGTAACATGCGTAACATCTTGTTCTGATGGATTGTGATGTTTTGGAGTGGTATTTAAATGGCTAGCCCTTCAGCATAACTGTAGCACCATTCCTTGTTGTGCTGGATATGATAGTCCTAATATAGTCTGTTATCCCCTCAAGGGAAAAGCTTGTGCAGCAGTTTTTCTGTATGGGTTGACATTGAATTACTTTGAGGGAAGTTCATCCTACCCCTTCAGAAGGTCTTGCAAGTACTAGTAGGATGGCCAGTTTATGGCAATCAAGAAATAGATCTCTCCTGTGTAGCTTCAGTGCTATTACTAAACTTTCCAACAGCTTATTTCCTCAGAGCTGTTTTCCTTGCATGGAAGAAGAGAACTTGTTTTCTTATCTTTTTGGGTTGCAACCATTTGCTGATTTTAAACACAGGAGTGAGCCTTCTTGCCTGCCTGCTGTTTGGAGTATGACTCTGGAAGCTACCTTCCTAGCCGCTGTATTTGTAGTCACAACGTTAGAACCACTTCAGAAAAGTATTAGTGCAGCTCTTGTTTCTATTTGCTTGGTTCTGTTCTCCTTGTGAAACAACACATGTTAATATGATGGTCTAATGTATTATCTTCCCAGGTTATGATACCTATTAGTCTCCTTGGCCAGAGTGTCTGACACCTCCTTATATCTTGCCTTCTTCTAATGTAAAAATATGTATCCACTTCTCTCACAGAGGGTCCTCGTACTTTAGAGAGACACTGTATTTACATGACAACATGAAGGAAGGAGTGTTATAAGCCTCCAGGGAGGCTTACTTCGGCAATTCAGGCATTTCTTTGTGGTGATGAGTGAATCAGTTCAGCTATTGCATAAAGGTGAACTTGAGGTTCTAAGTAACTAAAGTAACTAAACCTCTGAGGTTTCATGCTAGTTGCTCGGGCCATGCCCATATAACAGATTGGATTAATCTCTTTCAGTCTGAGCTTTGTTTGCCACATTTGGCACCTGTGTAACGAGTTTTGCTGGCAGCAATAATAGGTTGTTCTCTAGTGGTAGCAGTCAGCTGGTGCTTATCATAAACTCTCTGCAATTTCAGGAGCTGGTGGTGGCCTAATTTCCAACTTTGAGCAGCTGGTGAGAGGAGTGTGGAAACCTGAAACCAATGAGCTACTGAAGATGTCCTAGTAAGTTTTTTTTAAACAAAACTGCAACCTATTAGCTTGTTTCACTTACTACTTGTGTCAACACTCACTTCTGGTGATTCAGATTAAAAAAAATAAAAATCCACAGGAAATGTTGGTAATCAATGCTTTGGTGTGTATCTTATGGAAGATTCATTTTAATCATTTTAGGTTCACAGTACAAGAACACCAAATGGGAGGGACAAGTCATTAAAAATTATTTGGCAGAGAGCAGCATTGAGTCAGTAGGAAGTTCCTGGAAAGTGGTATTTAGTCAATTTGTCTTACAGGGACATGGTCTCCTATCCAGAATGAAGGGACAGTGGTACCACCAGTATACAAGTGAAGCCTGCATTTTGCTGCATGTTCTGAGTGTCACTAAAATGTCTTCCTTTGAGTGTCATCCCTCTTTTTTTTTCTCTGCCACTACTGATCTCCTCCAGAGATACCAATTATTTGGGAAGGTGCAAATTGGTCATTCAATATAGCAAAAATGCACTGCAAGATAAGAAGTGTTACTTTTCTTGCAGAAGGAGAGAATGGGAATATTACATGGCTCCCAGTTTAGTCTGTACAGTAAAAGGAGAACTGAGGCAGGCTAGGAAACCATAAGCTACTGTTGTAAGTCAAGATAAGCTCACTGTGGTAGTTTCCTAAAATTTGTTTGGCCTTTCCGATGTTGCTCTCAGGTCTTTAGAAATAATATTTATTTATTTTTAAAGTTACCTTGCTCTTCTACTCCCACTCTTAGCAACAGAGAATAAAAAAAGAGAAATATGTAGCCTTCCCTTTGGAAATATTTCAACTTTTTAGGGCTTATGTTAGTTCTTGGCTTTTTCTGAAATTCCAGATATTTAGAATTTCTTTCCCTCAGTCAGTGCCTGAGTGGCTGCAGTCTTGAAAGCAAACTTCCAGAAGAAAGATGTCACTGTCAATAATAGCACTGTAAACCCAAATAGCATTGTACTAAAAGGTGCAACGCTAGAGCAGTGCTTACTGACTGTGGCAGCACTTGCATATATTCTCCTTTTCCATGGTGGATGTTGCTTAAAGTAACTCAAAAAGTATTTTTAAAATTCTGTTTAATAGATAAAACTTAAGAATATGAAGTTGGTTACAAAGTTAAATGGATAAAACTTTCTGGAATGAATGAGATGCCTGTATGCACAGAGTTGGGTTTTGGACTTCCTAAGCAGGAAGTTGATGCAGTAAATCTCTGAGTTACTGAAAAGGTAGCGAAGAATTTGTCTATGCTAGATGCTCTGTGATAACAGGAATGTCATCTGTATGTCACCAGTAGATGCAGATTAAGAAATGCACACAGTTTTTCTGCCAGTATATTAGTACTCTTTCTTCAGATGACTTGAGATACCTGACCAAAGTTCTCTTATTTTCTGACTGCATACCTGTTGAGGGATTTACCACCACAATGAAGATAGCTAGAAGGTGTAAATCTTGTGTGCTTCAAGTCAACACAGCTTTGTTGGAAAAACTTGGTAATATAGGTCTAGCTCAAATCAAGTATAAGCTAACTACAACCCTAGAACTGGTGGAGTGTGACAGTGGACTGAGACTTGGACTAGGTTGTTCTTCAACACCTTAAGCAAGTCCTTGGAGTAACTACCATCTGGCCTACGGGAGAGGAATCTATCCTTAAGTCCATTCTGAGCAGTGCGAGCTTTGTGATTAAACTCTTGGGTAAGATATATTGGGAGAGGAAGAAGGGAAGCAAGCTGGTGTATAGAGTCTGAATAAAGGCGTTGATTTGAGGAGGAGTTTGCTGGGTGTGTAAATTAGTGCTGAACTGGATACTTATCCATACTATGGACGGAAAGCATAGTAATACTGTATAAAATGAAAATCTTAGTTTAATAATAAATAGATTTTGGCCCTTGTAACTGTTACCGCAACTTTTCATTAGTTCTATTCAGAAACATCTCTTTAGCATGCTAGGAACATTTATTGCTTTGCAGGCCGTGGCAGCTTTTGCTATTGAGTAGAGAACAGAAGTTAACATTGTTTGTTTGATTTCCAGCCCTGTGAAGGTAACTTTGATAGGAGCAGTTCTTTTCACCCTGCAGCACAGCCAATACTTGCCAATAGCAAGACACAACCTTGTGTTTTTATACACCATCTTTCTTGTGGTCTCTAAGGTAAGAATGTGAAGGTGTTGCGAATAATTGAATAACAAAATATATTTTATTTCATTATTCCAGAGCAAAAAATATACCCTTAAATATTCTACCACAAGTCTGAATGTGTGCTTCTGGATAGGAAGGCCAGCTCTAATTAAGTCTTAAACCTGTATTTAGCCTTCTATAATGAGCAAAACAGAAGACCTGGAATTTTGGCACCCAATAGTTGATATGCCAGGCTTGTATGTTGATAATTTCAGACAACGCTTATGTTTGTAGAAAGAGACTCTCTGGTTCTCTGCCTTTTGCTAACTACTTAGTGCCTTCCTTGTACCTGTGCAGTCATCTGTGGGTTTGCAAAACAAGCCAGCTAGGTTCTCATCTAGCTTAAAGTGTTTGCAACATAAACGTTCAGGTGGCAAGAGAAAGTGTGTCAAAACCATTTTGAAGCAGCTGTAACTACTTCTATAATAAAATAGATACTACTTCTCTGTTGAATCCTTTAATCCCTCCAGTCTTGTTCATTTCCAGGATGATGCCTGTCTTCAGGATTATTAGCTAATAAGAAAGTGTAGTCTCTGTGTAGCAGAAGTCTGGCAATTTTAAGAGCTTCCAAGCTGCTGTTCAAAAGACTAGAGAATGTCTTAAAGTGGTGGCTGCCAGTCAGCTTTCCGTGAAGTAGCTGACAAGTTCAATTCTAGAGATGTTGCTTTAGGGAGCCAAGACTTGAAGCTGATGCTCACAATTCTGCGCTTGTTGAACTGGGGATGCTGAGAATGGAGGAGGAAAGGAATGTTATTCTGGAAGTGAGACAGTACAGCTGTCTTTAGAAGCTGGCTCTCAGGCTTCAGTGAAGTGAATAAGTTCTTAAACTGATGATCATCCTGACAATTGAGAGCTTGACCATACACTTAACTAATAAAGCAACAGTTGTGGGACTGGCACAGTCCTGTAGTAGTGTCTTGTCTTAGAAGCCTTTCATGTCTCTGAAAACTGTAGAAACTCTTGCAATATAAACTTGTCCAGTACCTGGATCTACACAACAGCTTTTTCTATTCTGATTCCAAGCAGTGTATTCTAAGGAATTTCCAGCTAAATCTGTGTTGCCAACCTCAACTTTATGGAATGAGTATGGCTGTCTGGAATTCTTAACTAAGGTCTGGCTGTATGTATATATATTTAGGTGCTTACACATTGCACTTTTTCAGTTTAAATGGAACTAGCTGCCTTGTTTACAGATTTTCAGTTTGAGCAAAGTAAAAAAGCTTACACAGAAATGTTGCTCTTCACCTTAGTTATGAAGTTGTGTAGTTTAAGGATGATTTTGGTAAACTTACATAGCAAGTTTTTGTGCACATTGTGTATAGCTGTGTGAAGAGCGTAGGTCAGAAAGAGAAGCATTCTTTGATCAATTCAAGCTAAAATGAACATTTATGTTCTTGGTGGCATGGCCTCATGCATGTGTATAAAGTTAGAAATGCCATACATTGATTCAGCTTTGAACTTGTTTTTAGTCATTCTGAAGTCATTAAAACTTTTATTGTAACTTTATCCTTGTTCTTCATAGGTAACGATGATGTTGACAAGATCCACAACTTCTCCATTTGCCCCCATTGAGGCTGCATTAGGCCATATGTTCTTTGGCTTGCAGAAGACGCCATCCAAAGTGAAGGGTGAAGGTGCCACATCTTCCAATGGCTCTTCAGTCTGTGACCGGTCTTCTTCTGAACAGCAGCGTGATGGTATTAAGAAGAGACAGGCAAAGAAAACAGAATAAGTGGTTTAAAATCCTCGATGGTCATAACCTTTCAAGACTTTGTATTTCAGATTAGGCTGGCTGAGAAATTTGTTTCAAGAAATGCATGTGAGGAGAGAACAGGGAGGTGGTTGAGTCACCGTCCCTGGATGTGTTTAAGGGACGTTTAGATGCGGTACTGAGGGACATGGTGTAGGGGAGGACTTTGTAGAGTAGGGTAGATGGTTGGACTCGATGATCCCAAGGGTCTCTTCCAACCTCAATGATTCTATGATTCTAACAGGGCTGTATACTGCTGTGTTGTCTGCCTTCACAATGTGCTTTGTAAGCTACTGTTCAGATGTCTACATGCACATGTTGGATTTGTAAGTTGAAAGCAACAAATTTTTATAGTGGTTTTGTAAATTTTCTATTTATGAATAACTTTAAATGCTTACATGCTAAAAAGATAGTTTCAAAATGTGACAATCAGTTTTGTTACTTTTTTCTGATATATCTCTTGTTCCACCTTCTCTCCCCTGCCCCCCCTGTTCTTATGTTCGTACTTGGATAGCATGAACTTGCACTGCCAAGTGTTCACAATAGCATGTCCTGAGTAAGAAAGCCATCGTCTGAGTAAGGCTTAATCACATTGCACTGAAAAAACATTAAAATGTACTGAACTAATGCCTTTAACTAGAAAAAAACACTGAATTACTGTTGTAATTCACATTGCACTGGTCTAGATTCTCTTAATTTACTAAACTAAATGTTTTTCATATTATTGTATTTTTTAAAGTAAGAGTGAATCATCTGGCACTTTTAAAAATCTTTACAATTAGCAAGTAGAAACACTTCAATATTTTCGTGGTTGGCTTTGACACTTTATTTGCAAGCATTTGACATATAGCTTTTTTCATGTTACATAGGGGATTTGCATGTGGTTTTTGGTATCTTTCAGTTTGACTGGGACTAGATATCTCTGCCTGCACTTTTATCCAAGCATATGCATTTTTTTTCTCTTCAAAGCCTGACTTCCTTTTACAAAAAGATACTACATAGTACATTTACTTTGATTTTCATGATTTCAGCCCTATTGTGCCTGCTGTTACTAAATACCAGCACTAGTTTGTAGCAGTTACCTCTGGTGCTATTGGGGAAGAACTATTAATATCAAAAGCACTGGAACTATTTATTAGTGCTTGCTGAAATCTGCAGCATCCTGCTCATTGCATCTTTTTTGCTGATGTTGTGGAGCAGTTGTAAGTAGAACTTCAGAACTAAGAATTTTTTAGGATTTAGACAGTTTAGAGATGTTACATTTCATAATAATATAATCTTTTCAGAGGAATCTTTCATTGATGTGCCAATTTTTAGAGTAAATCAAAATATTTTTCCAGAATTAGATTATTGTCTTCCAAGAGCACTGCTTTGAAGAGTATTCTTCAGCATGAGGAGGGAGGTTAATCCTTGTGCAGGGATGCCAAGGAGAATGTGGAGGGACATCTGATTTGAAAAGACAAGGTTCTAGTTCCAGGTACATATCTAAATTTAGAAAAACTGTCACCAGTGCTGTGCTTAGAGAAAAGAAAAAGAAAAAAGAATACCCAAGAAATTTTTTGTGCCTGTCTAGTCACATCTCAATGGTAGTGACCAAAACCATTGAACTTCTCAGTTTGGAATCCAACTCTATAGCAAATAAAACCTTGAAAGCTAAAATGAATATTAAAAAGAACCCCAACTCTTTGGACAAAACAGCAGCTGTGTTCCGGACAATTTTACACTGAAACTCAGTCTCCAGTTATAAATGCTTGGAGTATTCTTTTGCAGGGTGTCTCAGTTTTTTTGTAAATTGGTATTATGGGTGTGTGGATAAACTTGAAGCTGCCAACTGACTAACTAGTTAATAATCAGCTAGTTATTCAGCAACACCAGCAAAAGTTGTATGTGTACGGTTTTTAAAACTTCTAGGTGTTAAAAAGGTTAAAAGGTGCATTGGTGTATACTAGATCACAAGAAATGTACAGAATTGGATTGTGGCATGGAACTACATTGCCCAACTGTGAAGTACTGGCTGATAAATGGCTACTCCTAGCCCGAATAAATGTGAAGATATGCTTAGACTAATTCTTTAACAAGTTTACAGTTTGAAGGAAAATACATGGTTTTGTATTCATTTTGGACTTAAAGACTACAGTATTAAAAAAAAAAAAAAAAGTTGTTTTTCTTGACTGAAGACCTTGAGAGAACCGTGAGAGAAATACAGATCATACTAAAAACATGTGTTGTGGTTTGGGCTGGGCTGGCCACCAAAACAAGCAACAGATGCTCTCTTTTACCTGTCGTCTTCTCAGAGAAGAGAGCGCTTCTCCTTTCAGAGAAGAGGAGAGGAAAATGAGAGACACACTTGTGCATTAAAAAGAAACTAAACTACTTGAATGAGATATTTATTAATAAAATAAAAAAAGCAAATAATAATAAGAAAATGATGAAATATATACAAAGTATACAGAACAAGTATCAAGCTCCCAGGATGACTATCTTATAGTGGTTTTGTAAATTTTCTATTTATGAATAACTTTAAATGCTTACATGCTAAAAAGATAGTTTCAAAATGTGACAATCAGTTTTGTTACTTTTTTCTGATATATCTCTTGTTCCACCTTCTCTCCCCTGCCCCCCCTGTTCTTATGTTCGTACTTGGATAGCATGAACTTGCACTGCCAAGTGTTCACAATAGCATGTCCTGAGTAAGAAAGCCATCGTCTGAGTAAGGCTTAATCACATTGCACTGAAAAAACATTAAAATGTACTGAACTAATGCCTTTAACTAGAAAAAAACACTGAATTACTGTTGTAATTCACATTGCACTGGTCTAGATTCTCTTAATTTACTAAACTAAATGTTTTTCATATTATTGTATTTTTTAAAGTAAGAGTGAATCATCTGGCACTTTTAAAAATCTTTACAATTAGCAAGTAGAAACACTTCAATATTTTCGTGGTTGGCTTTGACACTTTATTTGCAAGCATTTGACATATAGCTTTTTTCATGTTACATAGGGGATTTGCATGTGGTTTTTGGTATCTTTCAGTTTGACTGGGACTAGATATCTCTGCCTGCACTTTTATCCAAGCATATGCATTTTTTTTCTCTTCAAAGCCTGACTTCCTTTTACAAAAAGATACTACATAGTACATTTACTTTGATTTTCATGATTTCAGCCCTATTGTGCCTGCTGTTACTAAATACCAGCACTAGTTTGTAGCAGTTACCTCTGGTGCTATTGGGGAAGAACTATTAATATCAAAAGCACTGGAACTATTTATTAGTGCTTGCTGAAATCTGCAGCATCCTGCTCATTGCATCTTTTTTGCTGATGTTGTGGAGCAGTTGTAAGTAGAACTTCAGAACTAAGAATTTTTTAGGATTTAGACAGTTTAGAGATGTTACATTTCATAATAATATAATCTTTTCAGAGGAATCTTTCATTGATGTGCCAATTTTTAGAGTAAATCAAAATATTTTTCCAGAATTAGATTATTGTCTTCCAAGAGCACTGCTTTGAAGAGTATTCTTCAGCATGAGGAGGGAGGTTAATCCTTGTGCAGGGATGCCAAGGAGAATGTGGAGGGACATCTGATTTGAAAAGACAAGGTTCTAGTTCCAGGTACATATCTAAATTTAGAAAAACTGTCACCAGTGCTGTGCTTAGAGAAAAGAAAAAGAAAAAAGAATACCCAAGAAATTTTTTGTGCCTGTCTAGTCACATCTCAATGGTAGTGACCAAAACCATTGAACTTCTCAGTTTGGAATCCAACTCTATAGCAAATAAAACCTTGAAAGCTAAAATGAATATTAAAAAGAACCCCAACTCTTTGGACAAAACAGCAGCTGTGTTCCGGACAATTTTACACTGAAACTCAGTCTCCAGTTATAAATGCTTGGAGTATTCTTTTGCAGGGTGTCTCAGTTTTTTTGTAAATTGGTATTATGGGTGTGTGGATAAACTTGAAGCTGCCAACTGACTAACTAGTTAATAATCAGCTAGTTATTCAGCAACACCAGCAAAAGTTGTATGTGTACGGTTTTTAAAACTTCTAGGTGTTAAAAAGGTTAAAAGGTGCATTGGTGTATACTAGATCACAAGAAATGTACAGAATTGGATTGTGGCATGGAACTACATTGCCCAACTGTGAAGTACTGGCTGATAAATGGCTACTCCTAGCCCGAATAAATGTGAAGATATGCTTAGACTAATTCTTTAACAAGTTTACAGTTTGAAGGAAAATACATGGTTTTGTATTCATTTTGGACTTAAAGACTACAGTATTAAAAAAAAAAAAAAAAGTTGTTTTTCTTGACTGAAGACCTTGAGAGAACCGTGAGAGAAATACAGATCATACTAAAAACATGTGTTGTGGTTTGGGCTGGGCTGGCCACCAAAACAAGCAACAGATGCTCTCTTTTACCTGTCGTCTTCTCAGAGAAGAGAGCGCTTCTCCTTTCAGAGAAGAGGAGAGGAAAATGAGAGACACACTTGTGCATTAAAAAGAAACTAAACTACTTGAATGAGATATTTATTAATAAAATAAAAAAAGCAAATAATAATAAGAAAATGATGAAATATATACAAAGTATACAGAACAAGTATCAAGCTCCCAGGATGACTATCATGTCATTGGCAGGCACTGGGGAAGTCCCAGGCTAGATTCAGTGACTGATGGGAACTGGAATCCTGATCTGGATCAGGATCAAAGGCAGCCAAGCAGACAGAGTCCTCCTTGGATGCCAGCCATTGAAGAAAGAGAGCTGGCCCTTTGATCCTTCAGCTTTTACACTGAGCATGGGGCAGATGGGATGGAATACCCTGTTGGTCAGGTTTGAGTTACCTGTCCTGTGCAGTCCATCCTACAGGTGGGACCCCTCTATGCTCCTCTGCTTCTTACCCTCCAACAGGTCATATACCAAAGTTGGCTGACCTTGGTTGTTACAGCAGTAAGTATAAGCAAGAGCCCCTCTGCATACCATTCCTTGGTATTCACTATAAATATCAGCCTTTATCACTCTGGAAGTGGACATTGTCTGAAAAATACGGTGTTAATTTCAGAGTTAGAAGAGTCTTAACTGAAAAGTAAAATTACCAAAAAGAAAATTGGTTTTGTTTTACCTCACACCAGGATACTGTGAGATAGAACATAAGTGACGTTGAAAGAAATCCCGTGGTGAGCATCATGAAAACAAACCACGTTTAAAGGTCTCACAAGCTTCTGAAGGATGGCTGCTGAAAAGAGCTCCATACTAAATAGTAACATGCAAGTGTTCTGAGAACTATTTTTGTATAGTACAAAAAAGATAACGAGTTGCGTAGGGTTTAACTTGAATTCTATAGATTTTATTACAGTATGTCCAGCATGCCTTAAATGAACAATTGCTTCCTAGCTATTGTGCTGATACTTCTATATCTCTGCTAAACTTATGTGTGTGAGATTGGGAAGAAATCCTCATAACTCTTCTGTTCCGGTAAAGCAGACTTTTTTTTGGTTGGTCTTTTTTGGGCAAAATTTGAAATTAAAACACTAAAAGATTTTTTGATCCAAAGCTCTTTGGCAGACATTCAGTTTTCTGAAAATTACATCCATTTACGGTCCTGGGGTGTTAATGGAGTTATAAGGAAGTATTTTTGAGTGGCTGTCAGTGGAATATGAGTATACCTTAAAAGCACTTAACAAGAAGATTATGATGAGCAAGTTGATGACATGAATATATATGTTTCTTCTGTTATCATAGCAGAATGTCAGAAAAATCCAAGGTGGAGAAATGAGTTTTGTATTGAAGAGAGGACGGTTTCATGGGAACTTCTCTCTCACAGGAATGACTTCTGTAGTTCAAGCGTTTGTAAGAAAATTTTGCTATCTTTAGCAGCATATACCTTAACCAGCCCATCGTGCACCAAAGCTTGATTCTGACTCTTCCCAAAGTGAGCAGTTGTCCCATAAAGGAGGTTATTTTCCTTTGGTGTTTCCCTTCTAGCTTATGAAAAGTTAAAAAAGCAGGAGAGAGGCTGAGCACTTGGTATTTTCAAGTTGAGCGAAGGGAAAGAATGGAGCATGGGAGACAGACCCATGTTTCTGACCAGCTGCTTTTGTATTAGTTGGTGTGTGTTCTTTGGCTTCAATCCAATTATCCAATTTATTTTTAGGCCCCTTTAATTCAGTATAGCAGCTGAAAAAAAAGAAAGGTAGCTCATGTGATACGTTTAGCTCATAGCAGACCCTACCAACAGCACTGAGAACCAGCATGTAAGGAAGAAGTATCAGCAGTCATTTGCCTCTTCAACAATAGCCTCTTCTATAGGGTTTGTGGATTTTTTTAAATCAATTTAGACTGCAGAGTCTGATAGTATGCAAAGGAGAGCTAGTGACGTCACCAAACTTGCATCCGAGTTTTGAAGCAATGCTTTATGCTTCCAAAGATTGGCATTCTGATAATTCGGGTATCCTCCTCTGTAACTAGTACACATATACTTTATTTTTATATGGGGCCTTCTGGATTAAAAAGTTAAAGATCAGGTTGAGCTCTTCTGAGTCTGTCTTTCTGAAGCGTAATTCGTATGTTTTGTAGCTGGCTTTCATTTAGAACTGTCTTGCTGAAAGAACATTTGCTTCACAATCAAATGTATTGACTTTTTCATTCCCTCATCTTTACCTAAATGTCCTGCTTATTTCAGCTTATTTTAGAATAATTTGGGGTTTTTTGTAAAAAAAAAGTATGTCTCAATGCTAATATCTCTTATGTAAGAAGATGCAAATGCCAACTGCTAAAGACATACAAAAGACAACAAAAATTAAGTGCTAACAGCGTATACTTAAGAAAAGCAGAGACATTTCAGAAAACGAACCCATGAGCTGCTATTGAAAGAAGGCACTGTATATAGACACAGGAAACAAGTTTCCAAATCGTTCATTGCAATTTATGTGTATCTTGTTCTCACATGCAAACTGAACCAAGCATAATGTTAATGAGCTTCAGACCAAGCTAAAGCAAGCATACAAGGAATAAGGACAAAGTGGAGTAACTCCTGGAAATGCTATACAGCGTGCTACTACTATAGCAAGAGGA